TTTTAGCATTCCGAATACATGCTTGTCCTGGTCTTACTGTGCGGAGTGTTGGGTTTCGTATCGAAAGCTACGATACAACTATTCCGATACTGTCAAAGGTCATGGTAGCTATTGTGATAGATCTATTGATGGAGTATCTGGAGAAGCATGAGCTTTCGTCTCCAACTCAGCGCGGAGTTCAACACAAGCGTTCGTGCACCATAAATCTACTTCTTGTACGAAATGAGTGGACAAAATCCGTCGATGCAGCCAAGCCATTGGATATAGTTCATTTGGACTTCTCCAAAGCATTTGATCGACTAAACCACCAAATTCTACTGTGAAAACTCTACAACTATGGAGTAAGAGGTTTGGTTCTGGACTGTATCAAGGAGTTTCTCCGACAAGGGACCATGTCGATTCGTGTTAGTGATTCATTATCAGAGCCTATCACCGCTGCTTCGTCTCTTCCTTGCATTTATAAACGACCTGCCACATGTCCTTAGGCCTAATACACTGCTATTTGCAGACGACGCTAAGATCTGGAGAACTGTAACACATCCAGACGATTACATAGCACTCCAACAGACGATCGATGCAGCCCACCGGTGATCAATCGCCAATGACATCGAGTTCAACGTTTACGAATGCAGAATTATTTCCATGCGGCATGAGACTCGTTTCTTCTATGTTCAAAACAACCAGATACTACCGCATGGTATTGACGAAAGGGATTTGGGAGTTATGGTACAGGAGGACGTAGGGTGTTCCACGCTCTGTACCAGAGCATCATCCATGGCTTTAAAGCAAGTTGAACTGCTCAGACATGTTTTCGGGCAACTCGAAAGAGCACTAGTCCCACGCTTGCTATCAGCGTTCGTTCGGCCACACACGCAGTATGCCATTCAAGCATGGAATCCATGGTTGGACCGCGACAAGAAGGCTCTAGAACGTCCGCAAAGGCTGGCAACAAAGTTGGTAAAAGGTCTGTATAACAAGACATATTCCGAAAGATTGCAAACACTAGGACTTTGGTGGGACCTAATATTGGTATATCACGCACTGCATCAACCCAACCAACCTTGTGCCGTTCTATGCTGACTTTATCTCAAAATGATCACCTCAGGGGACATCCACTAAAGATGAAGACCCAGAACAGCCACCTTGATTGCCGGCATCATTTGTTTGCGACCAGAGTGTGTGACGTATGGAATTCTCTTCCATCTGATGTAGTGTATGCTCCTAAAGTTGAGCTATTTAAATCGCAACTTGATAAAGCATTGGTACACTCAAAATTTCAACATCCATGAGTGATCGTACAAATTGTTATTATTTTCTCTTTGTGAAGTTATTCAAAATATTCTATACAAATCCTATGGGGCATGATAAGCTTTAGTTTTATTAAATCGTTCATAATAAAAACTTTGATTTTGAATTTGATTTTATAATCAGGGAATCAAAGAATTCTACATCCCTGGTGTTATTAAACAACTGAGGCGTTTTTCCCCACAGATTTGTTGTTTGCGTTGTCGTGTTGCAATCCTACGAGTTCCAGTACAACTTTGTTAGTGCATACCTTAGACTATGTTTCATGCGCGTTCATTTTTAGTTTTAACTCACATATTCCTGATATGCATTTTAGTCATGGTAACCAAAAACAAAATCCATACTGTTACCTATTTGTATAAATCAATGGTATTGATTGATTGATTTTTGATATGGATCTTGATGACTGCCGTCAAAAGGGCATTACCGGTGCCGTTTGCCGAGATCAGCTTGGCAGTATGCCATCGTGGAAAATCTAAATGGATCAAGCTAGGATCTAGTTGATATCACATACTGTTTTCTTGCCGTTTTCTGAATTCCCTGTCAACAAATATCCTCTCGGTTGTGGAAAACTTGTGTTCAACCGATTGGTATTGGGCAGCGTGACTAGACATTTTTCATTTTGCCATCTTTGATCAAAAACCAAATATCCTCAGGTGGTGATAGTGGTGGTGGTGATGGTTGTAGTGGATGTTATCATCCGACAGTACTGAGAAGAATGTCGCGTTCCGAGTTACGGTTGTCAAAGCACTGGAACTTGCAGTAGTTAGTGGGGCTAGCCGAGAATTTTGGGTTTCGTTTATTGCTGTGACCTTCAATCTAGCGGATGACCTCTGCGGCTTGCCACCGCGATGCTAGGAGAGATTAATTCTGATGATGATGATCATGGTTGACAGCCAGTTCAACCCCATGTAGTCCTGAGTTCGATGTAATACACCTGGTAGACTGAGTTCGCTCAATGGAAATTAGATCCTCTGATCCCATGAGTTGGTGAGTCGTAACTCCGATAGACTGACATGGTCTCCTTCGTGGCTCCGTGATCCAGTGACTTTGTGTGTACAGAAAGAAGCGTTCCCCTTGTTCCAGCAAGCAATGTAGAAAGATCCCAATGCGATTCAATTTTTGAGCCAGTTTCTTGGCTAGCGCAGTCACTGGACAAAGACAGGATGTGTCGTTTTTCACGAATCAGTTTGTTTTAGTGAAATGGCTGTACGAACCTGGGCTTTTATTACACGGTACACCTCTAACTGTTCAGTATCTTAGAGCAAACTGCGAGTGGGCAGGGGAGTGTCAGCACGACTGTATGGTAATCATAAAAATTGGTTCGTGGGTGATAAATCATTCAACGCGTCTGTGATGATGATGATTGTTGCTTGATCCACAGGTCTAACCCAACAACGTTCCGTCTTGTCACTGGTGGTGAACGGGAATTTTCATGATATTTGTTGGATGACGAGGGGGGGGGGCAAACTGATGCACGTCACCTAGCTATTGTTGGATTTGTTTGTTTTTATAGGAAGATAGCTAGCTAACCAGATGATGAAGTATCACGTCCGCTGATCGTTTGCGCCTGCCTAATTTTGAGATGAAGCTTACTTATTAGAAAATAACCACCGTAATGGCCAGTTTTCTGTCCACCAATTGGAAGCGTGCCGGTGGCACTCAGCGGTGTTCTCCGTTTCAGTGAGACGAGTGGGTGGGCACGGGAAAGGGGTAACGGATAAGCTTCATACTTAAACTGGATGGTCGGAGGTCAACATCTCGATCGATTAACCACAGTAGTTTGGAATGTTATTGATAAATAAGCTCATTATATTTCACGCGTATTCAATGTGTGGATTGAAACAGTATCAACTCCCTACACATGAAAGCCAAGATCATGTTAGCGGAAGGCCATGACGTGGTATTGTGAAATCAAAAAGGCCGGTTCAATCGTAGCAACGAGAAACTCAGTTTAGCCTTTTTTTTCCCTGAAATTGAGCATACCAATGTTGATTTCGTAGGAATTTTCTAAAAAGCTATGTGAATTACGCGCACAAACGTTCGCAAAAATAAATATTGGTTCATAAGATTAACAATGATATTACATGTTTTGGGGGAATTGTAACATCCGATTACTGCTTTCCTCACGGGATTCATTATTACAACGCAATTACTGAAGCTGATTGATTAGACCTGAGAAATATGCGTGAGTATCAGGTCTGAAGGATGATTAG